TACCGATCGGGGCCGTCCTCAAGGCACTCCAAGTGGAATCACGTCTTCACACGTTAACACTCCTGATGCTGAATTAAGAACCACCATCGTCAGAGTTTGCCCGTGCGCGGGCACCGAAGACCCCCGGGCGTGCACGCTCAGCACACGCGCGCCGGAGGCGCACGGGGCTGCCCAGGTTGTCAGGCCCCCCTCCCCCGCAGAAGCCGGCCCTATGACGCCTAGGACGGGCTTGAGCTCTCTCCCTTCACGTAACACTTTCTCGCCGTTTGGAAAGCATTTTCTCATCCAGTACTTCTAACCCTCCTAATCACCCTACCAGAGAGAAACGAGCTTATCGTCACCACTTCGTCTCTGAGGAAGGGAGGCCAAGTGTGTTAGTGTCGTGTCAAGGAAGACCCCGTTTTCCCACTCAGGCAGCCTTACCATCATCACTAAAGGCCTGAAGCTGCTCGCCGTGCTCAACACCAACGCCAGTAGCCATGTCTTCCAGCCACGCTGCCGACCTCGAAAAGAACGCGAGACCGCGCCTGCGCACAAGTCTTCTCGGCAAGCTCTCTCCGCAACTCTCGCGATGTTGAGAAAGGGCTGATGGGAAATGTAGTTCAAAACTGCAGTCACTGGGGGCTGGCCGCGTCCTCAGCGCGACCCTGGAGCTGGGGGTAAGATGGTGGCCGCCACCAGGGGCAGTGGAGGGTCGGAGTGGGAAACCAGGCCTATAAAGAACCACGGCTGTCAGAATACGAAGCTGGAGGTTCACTTCTGCCAGAAAGTCATTGAGCATCAGCACCGGTTGTCCCTGGTCGAGACTGGGGAAGCACAGAAAGTTCGAGGGGCCAGGGACGGATGAGGAAACCGGGGCTTGGCCGAATATCTTTTTTAATTGCTCTGCGGATTATATTTGGGGGAGGATAGGGGCATTTGGAGTGGTTCGCTGGGTTAGTGAAGAGGAGAGATTCCAAGGGAATCGTTCAACCTCCCGCTCAGGTGTTTTTAAGATTGGGGTGAGGCCGGTGAGGCCGAGGCGCGGGCGGCAGGGGGCGCTCGAGAGCGACGGGGTTCCGCCTCCGCGGCTGCCCGAGGGTCCGGGCCGAGTGTGCTTTTCATTCCGAGAAGAGAAAAAAAGGCAAGTGTCACGAGTTGAATTACGAAAAGAACGGAGAATGATGTAACACCCACTGCTCTTCTGGGTGTTATTTTTGAGGCAACCACTTTGGCTTCATTTTTTTTTTTTGGTTTCTGGGTTTTCTTGGTTTGTTTTTGAGACGGGGTTTCACCCTGGCACGCAGGCTGGAGTGCAGTGGTGCAATCATAACTTATTGCAGCCTCGACGTCCCGGGCTCAAGTGATCCTCCTGCCTCAGCCTCCTCCCAAGTGGCCAGGGTGACAGGCGAGCACCACCACGCCCAGCTGATTATTTTTATTTTGCAGAGATGAGGTCTCACTGTGTTGCCCGGGTTGGTCTCAAACTCCTGGCCTCAAGCAACCCTCCTGTTTTGGCCTCCCAAAGTGCTGGGATTACAAAGGTGAGCCACTGCGCCCGGTCTGGCTTCATTTTTGAAATAAAAATAAGGCAAAAATGACAACAATCAGGGCCAGAATTTGCACCTATTTGAAAGCTAGTTTAAATTTGCAAGACCAAGAGCCTTTTCTCCATTCCAGTCTCCCCGTTCTCATCCACCCATTAACAGTGATCTCTGTGGCCTTCGGTGTGGATTATATTGTCCTGCAGATGGTAACATGTTGCAGATACTTATTTTCAAATTACCACATTTGTTTATGTTTACCTCCTTTCATTTGATTGTCAACTCTTCAAGGGCTTTTTATTTTAATTTTTTTATTATTATTGTTTTTTGAGATGGAGTTTCGCTCTTGTTGCCCAGGCTGGAATGCAATGGCGCGATCTCGGCTCACCACAACCTCCGCCTCCCAAGTTCAAGTGATTCTCCTGCTTCAGCCTCCCGAGTAGCTGGGATTACAGGCATGCGCCACCACGCCCAGCTAATTTTGTATTTTTAGTAGAGACAGGGTTTCTCCATGTCAGGCTGGTCTCAAACTCCCGACCTCAGGTGATCCACCCGCCTCGGCCTCCCAAAGTGCTGGGATTACAGGTGTGAGCCACCACGCCCAGCCTCTTTTTTTTTTCCTTTTTAATTTCTTAACAGTGCAGGGTTTGGTGTTTACCTGCTATGCTAACAGTAAGTCTTCACAAATAATCATTAATTCATTCAGCAGTAATTCTGGCCATTGGGTTTCTCTACCTTACCCTTGAAGACACATCATTTTGTGTAATACTGAAAGGAAGAATGTGTTCTGTCCCTGCAAACATAGTTCCTTTCCTTTGAGACTTGCAGTGGGAATTCTAAGTGTGAATTTTCCAAAAGCTGCTAGCGGGCTGGTGACCTGCTGTAGACAAAATAGTAATGAGAGCTAATACTTCATAGCACTTACCAGGTGCCACTCCTTACATTGATTTCTGTACATGTATGAACTCGTTTAATCCTCACAATGCAGTGAAGTACTACTGTCAGAGGCGCTGGAAACAGAGACCTCCATCTTGAATAGGAGCTGGGTGAAATGAAGCTGAGACTTACTGGGCTGTATTCCCGGACAGTTAAGGCATTCTAAGTCACAGGATGAGATAGGAGGTTGGCACGAGATACAGGTCATAAAGACCTTGCTGATAAAACAGGTTGCAGTAAAGAAGTCCGCCAAACCAAAACCACAATGGCAGTAAGAGTGACCTCTGGTCGTCCTCACTGCTACACTCCCACTAGCGCCATGACAGTTTACAAATGCCATGGCAACCTTATGAAGTTACCCTATATGGTCTAAAAATGGGAGGCATAAATAATCCACCCCTTGTTTAGGATATAATCAAGAAATAACCATAAAAAATGGGAAACCAGTAGCCCTCAGGGCTGCTCTGTGGAGTAGCCTTTTTGTTTGTTTGTTTGAGACAGAGTCTCGCTCTGTCACCCAGGCTGCAGTGGTGCTGTAACCTCCGCCTCCCGGGTTCAAGCCATTCTCCTGCTTCAGCCTCCCAAGTAGCTGGATTACAGGTGCATGCCACCACGCCTGGCTAATTTTTGTATTTTTAGTAGTGATAGGGTTTCACCATGTTGGCCAGGCTGGTGTTGAATTCCTGACCTCAAGTGATCTGCCTGCCTCAGCCTCCCAAAGTGCTAGGATTACAGGCCTGAGCCACCATGCCCGGCCAAGTAGCCATTCTTTTATTCCTTTACTTTTCTAATAAACTTGCTTTCACTTTATAGACTCACCCCAAATTCTTTCTTGCTCAAGATCCAAGAACCCTCTTTTGGGACCTGGATCAGGACTCCTCTCTGGTAACACTATCACTGTTCCCATTTTACGGATAAGGAAACAGTAGCACTGGGAAATTCGGTAACTTGCCCAAATTCACATAACCAGTAATGGCAGGGTCAGACTTTGCTCCCAGCCTGTAGAATCCATGCTTTTTCCACTAATGAATAAGGTGACCTTATGTATAAGGACTTTTGTTTTGGGGGAGGAAGGGAGAAGGAAGAAGATTTTCATGTGTTTGTAGGGGTAGTTGGGGACAAAATCAGAAATGAGGTTGAAAGGAGGAACAGTGGGCACCTGCTCTGCCATTTGAGCCACTTCATGGCAGGAAGAGTGAGGATGGGAGGCTGCAGAGCTGATGTGTGGAAGATGGAGGCTCCGGGCTCTAGCAGGGCTATATTGGGCCTGGATGCCACCCAGTGTATAGTGAGGGCCATTCTTTATAGCTCCTCACTCCTCGCTCCGCCGCAGGCCACCAAGTCGCCTTCACACCTGACTGGACACTGCTTCCCCAACGGCAGCTTCATGGCAGATAGGGATGCCAGGGCAGCTGGGCAGTGGCCAAGAGGCTGGAGTGAAATACAATGAGAGGCCTTGTGCCTCAGCACATGTAAAGTACACTGTGTAGCCAACCCAGAAATAACTGGGGAGACTTCAGAGAATGTATCAGAATTCCTGAATGAGCCGGCAAGGGCTCAGAGCTGTTGAGACTGAAATGTGGATGTTACTGTGATCTCATTTGCACTCCTTGCTGGTGAGAGCTAGGACATTTGAGTTTTACCTACCGTGGAATTATTATGCAGCCATTATAGCAGGCTAGTGCAGACCTCTATTTATTGACATGGAAAGAGTCACAGTCTAGTGACCCTTTTTTTTTTTTTTTTTTGAGACGGAGTCTCGCTCTGTCACCCAGGCTGGAGTGCGGTGGCCGGACCTCTGCTCACTGCAAGCTCCGCCTCCTGGGTTTACGCCATTCTCCTGCCTCAGCCTCCCGAGTAGCTGGGACTACAGGCGCTCGCCACCTCGCCCGGCTAGTTTTTTGTATTTTTTTTTTAGTAGAGACGGGGTTTCACCGTGTTAGCCAGGATGGTCTCGATCTCCTGACCTCGTGATCCGCCCGTCTCGGCCTCCCAAAGTGCTGGGATTACAGGCTTGAGCCACCGCGCCCGGCCTCTAGTGACCCTTTACAAACAGGAAGGCAGAAGTCCCCAGCGCTTTTCAGGGACCCAGGCTCTGAGTACAAAGGGAGAATTCAGTCAACTGGCCTATTGTGTTGGGGTGGTCACTGACGGGGTTTAAGACATGGTATCTGAAACCCACAGTAATAGAAAACAGTCTTTGGGCTGGTCGCAGTGGCTCACGCCTATAATCCCAACACTTTGGTTGGCCAAGGCAGGAGGATCGCTTGAGCCCAGGAGTTCAAGACCAGCCTGAGCAACATGGGGAGACCTCCATCTCTATAAATAAAAAATTAAAAATGAAAAACAGCCAGGTGTGGTGGCACATGCCTGTGGCCCGAGCTGGATGGGAGGCTGAGGTGGGAGGATTGCTGGGGCCCGTGAGATTGAGGCTGTGCAGTGAGCCATGATTGCATCACTGCCCTCCAGCCTGGGTGACAGAGCAAGATCTTGTCTCAAAAAAATAAATACATAAAAATAAAGAAAACAGTCTTTAGAATATTGAGGTTAATTTCTCTACCCAGAAAGCAATCTTTAATTGTATTAATAAGAACACAAAAGAAGGTAGGTAGTATCCCAAGCAGCTGACTGCTTACATTTGGAACGGTGGCAGCAGCGGCATCACAGGAAGCACATCTGTATGTCAGGCACTGTTAGCGGCCAGTCTCTTCCTCCATCTGATGAACCTAGGCTCTGTTCAGCTGCTGGGCAAGGGTCTGCTTCAGCAGGGGCAAGCCCCTCCCTAGCCCCCAGGGGCAAATCTTCATTCATCTGTACCAGACATGGTCAGTCTATTCCCTTCGCTGGAAATTGTTTTGGGAAAGGGTCTCCGATGCAATTCTGGCCAAGTTTGGGAAAGTTTTCCTGCTTTTAAAAACAACAGCCTTTTTTCTGGCTTTGGGACACTGTGAAGAAGTGATGCTGGGCCTGCTGGAGCCATCTTGCATCTGCAAGGCTTCCATTAAGTAGGAGCTGAAGGACTGCGATGGCAGAGTAGAGAGAAGAAAGAACATGAGTCCTCAGTGATGCTGCTGACCTGCAGAAGCCGCCAGTCCCGACACCCCTGAACTTCAGACCTCTTGTTTTGATTCAGAGACACATTTGTACATTTCATATATATATATACACACACACACACACACACACATACATATATATACACACATATACATATATGGGTTTTTTTTCTTTTTTTGAGACAGAGCTTTGCTCTTGTCACCCAGGCTGGAATGCAGTGGCATGATCTCGGCTCACTGCAACCTCCCTCCACGTCCTGGGTTCTTGTGATTCTCCTACCTCAGCCTCCCAAGTAGCTGGAATTACAGGCATGCACCACCACGCCCAGCTAATTTTCATATTTTTAACAGAGACAGCATTTCACCATCCTGGCCAGGCTAGTCTTGAACTCCTGACCTCAGGTAACTCGCCCACCTCAGCCTCCCGAAGTGCTGGGATCACAAACATGAGCCACCACAGCCGGTTGCATTTTCACGTTCTTAAATGCAGATGTGTCTTGCAAGCAATGGCATCTCAGTTTGAGTGAATTACAAAATGTGAGATTTTAGGCCGGGCACAGTGGCTCACGCCTGTAATCCCAGCACTTTGGGAGGCCGAGGCAGGCGGATCACGAGGTCAGGAGATCGAGACCATCCTAAAATGCAAAAAAAATTGGCCGGGTGTGGTGGGGGGTGCCTGTAGTCCCGGCTACTCTGGAGGCTGAGGCAGGAAAATGGCTTGAACTCGGGAGGCGGAGCTTGCAATGAGCGGAGATCGCACCACTGCACTCTAGCCTGGGTGACAGAGCGAGACTCCATCTCAAAAAAAAAAAAAAAAAAAAAAAAGTGAGATTTAAAAAAGAAATCTTATTAAGTCATTTTAAGTTGGGTGTTCTATTTCAGTCAAATCATCCTAAATGATATCTTTTAAAAATAATTCTTCCCAGAAGAATGGATCATGGCAGAATACAGAAAATGAGCTGATGTGTGCAAGCGTCCTTTCTGAAGTAACAACAGCTATGTGTATATGAAATGTTTACTCTGTGGTAGGTACTCTGGAAGCACCTTTTATTCACTGTCTCATCTGATTCTCATGACAGCCCTGTCATTATCACCGCTCCCCCCCCTTCCCATTTCGCAGCTGAGGAAGTCAAGGTGCAGAAAGGTTAAAGGAATTCATAAGTGAAGCACTGAGATCTGAACTCAAACAATCCAGCTAAAAACTCATGGTCTCAGCCACCATGCTGTGTTGCCTTAAAAAATTACACTATGACAGTGGAACGTTTTTGCTTAACTCCAGAGACTTTAATTCACCCACCTAGAAAACCTGTCATGAAAACATAGAGGATTTTTTTCCTGAGAGTTCTTAGGACCATGAAACAGTGTTGCAAATCCTGTTCAGAAATCTGGGACCATGCAGATGACCAGGCAGATGGAAGAAAAGTAAAAATATAAAAATAAAAAACAAAACCTGGGATCAATGCTTTCAAGTTTCACCTAGCTTTAACTTTCTGGAGGAGGAGAAATACGACACAGACCCTATGCATTGAGAATAGATGGCGTTGGAGTTGTGGATTGTCTGTGCTTGCCAAACAGCATCCAGGAAGAAAAGCAATGCATTTGACTTCCCTGCTTGGCAGAGCCACTGCCTCTAGAGTATTACTCAAAAACTGATTTTTTTAAAATAAAAATAAATGAATTTGTAGACGATATAATGTTCCATGGATCTCTTCTGTTATTTCCTGGGCATGTCTCTCCATGCCCAGAAACCTTGCCTTCTCACAGCTGTTGCATAACCTTTGCTTGTGGTGGTGTTTGTTCCTGTTGCCTTGAAAATCCCTTCGCTGCATTCTCTTCTCTGCTCAGCAAATTCCAGCTTCTACTTAAATACCTCCTCTGCGAAGTTTTGACTGAGATGCTGCAACAATTCCCGAGCTGTTTCCTCGTGGCACCTTCCTGGTGGCAGGTGGATTAGCACATTGTCTGCAACCCAGGACGACCTGGAGGAAAGTCCCAGCTCTACTGATTCTAACTGAGTAACCTTGGCAAAAGTCACCTCACTTCTCTCTGAGTCTTATTTTCTCATCTGTAAAATGAGGAGGAGGTCCTCATCATCCAAACATCACGGGACTTCGTTAGGTCAGTGCTTCGGAGCACTTAGCACAGCGCCTGGCACAAGGTAAGCACTTGATAAATGGGAGTTCGTGTTATTTCAGCATACTTTGAATACTCATCCCACTGTTTTATGATGATTTGTTTGCATGTCTGGCTTTTCTGCTAGATGATGAGTAAAACAAGCATCAATCTTCATTCTTGTTTTGTTTCTAACTCTAAATCATCTTTATTCTGGTGTAACTTACATACAATACAGTATAACCATTCACAATGTATGGTTCATTAGTCCAATAAGTGTATAGACCCATGTAACCACAATCCCAGTTAAGATTTAGAACATTTTTGTCACCTCAAAAGCACCTTCTTAGGTGGGGTGCAGCACTTCGGGAGGCCGAGGCCAGTGGATCACCTGAGGTCAGGAGTCCGAGACCAGCCTGGCCAACGTGGTGAAACCCCATCTCTACTAAAAATACAAAAAATTAGCCAGGCATGGTGGTGGGCACCTGTAATCCCAGCTACTTAGGAGGCTGAGGCAGGAGAATTGCTTGAACCCAGGAGGTGAGGTTGCAGTGAGCCAAGATTGCACCATTGCACTCCAGCTTAGGTGACAAGAGCAAAACTCCGTCTCAAAAACAACAACAACAACAACAAAAACCTTCTAGGCCGTGCACGGCGGTTCATGCCTGTAATCCTAGCACTTTGGGAGGCCGAGGCAGGCGGATCACTTGAGGTCAGGAGTTCAAGACCAGCCTGGCCAATATGATGAAACCCTGTCTCAACTAAAAATACAAAAATTAGCTGGGCGTGATGGTGCATGCCAATAATCCCTGCTACTGAGGAGGTGAAGGTTGTAGTGAGTTGAGATTGCACCACTGCACTCCAGCCTGGTTGACAAAGTAAGACTCCGTCTTACTTTGCAGTCAACAAAACAAAACTTCTTACCCTTGCAGTCAACCCCCACGATATCTAACCCCAGCCCCAGTCAACCACTGATGCCTTCTGTCACTAACAGTCGGGTTCTGCCTGTCCTAGAATTCCATGCACATGTCATCATCACACAGTAGCTGCTCTTTTGTGTCTGGCTTCTCTCAGTTTACCCATGTCGTTGGCATCAGCAGTTCATTTCCTTTTCATTGCTAAGGATTATTCTATCTTAATATATCTCAGTGTGTTTATTCCCATGTTGAGGAATATTTGCATTGTTTCCAGTTTGTAGCTATTACTAATAAAGCTGCCATGAACATCTTTGCAGTCTTTTTTGTGGATGTAAGTTTTCATTCCTCTGGGATAACTTTATAAGAAACCGCCATGCTGGTTTCCCAAGTGGTTGTAACACTTCACCAGTCCCCAGCCGTGTATGACAGGGTCACATCTTGGACAGTACTTACTATGGTCAGCCTTCAGCTTTAACCATTCTGGTGGGCAGGTAGTGGTATATCATTGGGCTTTTGATTTGCATGTGAAACATCTTTCTTTCCCAAAGTGCTGGTATTACAGGCGTGAGCCACCGCCCCCAGCCGCATGTTGAACATCTTTCTATGTATTTTAGCTGTATGTATATTTTTTGTTGTAGTGTCTATTAAAACCTTTGCCCATTTTTTATTGGGCTGTCTTATTATCGAATTGTAAAAGTGCTTTATGTATTGCGGATACTAGTCCTTTCTCAGATTTTTGTTTGGCAAATATTTATTCCCGGTGTTTCCAAGAGCAGAGGTTTAATTTTGATAAAGTCCAGTGTATTAATTTTCTTTTCTGGTTAGTGCTTTTTGTATCCTGTTGAAAGGACCTTTCTTTCTCCATTGGATTACCTTTGCTGCATCTGTTTTTGGATTCCATTGATCTGTGTGTATATCCTTACGAATCTCACACTGTCTTGACCTCTGATTCTGTCTCCTCCTCACCTTAGCAAAGCCACTGTGGTCCACTTGGTTTCCCCTCCCCAGGGCACAGTCAGGGAACTGTCTCCAGGCAGAAGCTGAGGCAGTCATGGGGTCACTGTCCTGTGTGCTGCCTGTTGTCAAGTGTCTGTTTCTTATATCTTGCCCAGTTTTCTGGTTGTTTGTGGCAGGTCTTAATCCGTTTCTGGATCCACAGTCCCTGGCACACAGCACCTCCAGACACAGTTCATTATAGTCACTTTCGATTGGGAAAGTCAGTGGGGCTCCCAGAGAGCTTCTGGTCCATCCCCTTCATTTTACTAAACAGCTCTTTTCCTGAGGAGATCATTAGTCCTTTATATCTTCACTCCAGCCCACCTGGGCTTGACAAGTATTTATCAAATGAGGAAACCGAGGTCTGGAGAACAAAAGGTCACAGGGATAGGCAGGGTTGGGCTGGCAGAACTAGGCCACCTAGGCTGGGGCCTTCCTATAGGACCAGCTGGCAGGGCAGGGTCTGTCTCTCCTCGAGTGTCACTCCTGACACCTGACACAGGGTTTGCACATTGCAGGTTCCCAGGACACACTTGTTAAATAAATGACCAAATTAACACATTTATTTCTTTTAATGCTGAGTTCAAATGGCTTCTGCCTCTGCATATGATATTGTGTGTATGTTTGTGTATGTGTATGTTTCTGTGTGTGTCTGTGTGCATATGTATGTGTGTTTATGTGTATCTGTGTATATGTGTGTGTGTGTATCTGTATGTTATGTGTCTATATGTATATATGTCTGTATGTGTGTGTCTGTGCATATGGGTGTATGTCTGTATGTGTATGTGTGAATGTGTGTGTGTGTATGCATGTGTATCTGTGATTGTGTGTGTCTGTGTGTGTGTGTGTGTGTATGTGTATGTGTGTGAATGTATATGTGTATGTCTGTGTATGTGTGAATGTGTGTGTATGTGTGTGTGAATGTGTATGTGTATGCATATGTCTATGTGTGAACATGTGTGTTATGTGTGTCTGTGTATGTCTGTGTGTATGTGTATGTATGTAAATGTATATGTGTCTGTGTATGTGCGAATGTGTCTGTGTGTGTGAATGTGTGTGTATGTGTGTGTGAATGTGTATGTGTATGTATATGTCTATGTGTGAATGTGTTATGTGTGTCTATGTATGTCTGTATGTGTATGTGTGTGGATATATATATGTGTATGTCTGTGTATGTGTGTGTGAATGTGTGTGTGTGTGTATGTGTCTGTGTATGTATGTGTATGTTTGTATATGTGTATGTCTGTGCACGCATGTGTGTGTGAATGTATGTGTTTCTGTGTATCAATGTGTTTGTATGTGTGAATGTATGTGTCTCTGTGTGTGAATGTGTGTGTATGTGTGAATGTGTGTGTGTGTGTTCACATAGGGATAGGATTGGCCTCTCCTACCCAGGCTCACAGGCTGAGTCTGTTAGTAAATTTTTAAAAATTTTCTCAGCCCCCCACTACAGTCGTAATCCCCACTAGGGGGCACATGTGTCCCACAGAGAGGGTCTGTGCTCCTTAGGCACAAGGACTGGCTGCCAGCTGTCAGCGGATCCCCCTCAAACCACCTCCTCGGTCTCCATGCCCTGCACCCTCCCCCTGCAAAAACAAATCAAAACAGCCTTCCTCACCAGGCTCCCGTCTCCAGCTGGGCTGCTAGCTACCGTCCTGTCCTCTCCCCAGGGCCTGCCCCTGGCTGAAGGAGGCAACAGAGTGGCAGTGGCAGTGGCAGTGGCAGTGACTATGGGTGATGACCTCGCTGTCTGTCATCCCTGCCAGGGGCCACCACGTCCTCCCTGTGGAAGACTGGGGGATCCTAAAGGGGCAGCTGTCCTCTCCCCTTCACCTGGCAGGCAAGAACCAGCCTCTCAGGGCCCAGAGTCTGGTCTGCCCTTGAATGTGAGTTTCTGAAGACAGAACAGTGGTGATGACCCTGGCCAACACCAGCCCACCTGCAAAGGCAGGGCAGGCAGGCCCACAGCTCCATTCCTTGTGCCTTGTAGACAGGTCACAACCAGAATTTCCTCACGGCCCCCACCTCGAGACTCGGCCCTCTCTATCCCAAGCTTTGGCATCAAATTTCCCAGGCTCAGGTCCTGGCTTCGCTGCCAGCTATGAGTGACCTTAAGCAAGTTCGGTGAACCTCACTTTCCTTATTGGATAAACGATAACCATTCCTGCCGCATAAATGAAACAGTGCGTAAAATACAGCAGCTGGCACAGTGCCTAGCACATAGTAAGCGCCCAATGCATGTTAGTGGTTATTAATCATACGGTTAGTATCTTCATTATATTAACATAAGCTTCCGTGCGAACCACTTTGATGTTCTTCTGAGGTTCACAAAGAAGCATTATCTTCTTCTAGCTCTAGGTCTTGGGCTTCTTCCCAACAGCAGAGGGGCTACGGGAGCCTGAGGAACCAGCAGGGTTCGCTCTCTCGCCATCATGCCTGTCTCAAAGCGGGCACCGTGCCCTACCCATCTAGTCTCGGCCCAGCACCTCTGCTGTTTGCCCTTGCCCAGGACTGTCTGTGCACCCACACACACACACACAACCAGACACACACAACCACACACACACACACACAACCGCACACTTGGAGTGGGTGGGTACTCCCCAGGGTGACAGTGGACAGCCACAGCTGTGGTGGCTACTTCCCTCACCCCCACCATACCCCCGCCACCTCATTAGTTCCCTGGTCATGCTCCAGTCTCCAGGAGAGACTGGCAGCCACCCTGAGCCTCAGTCGCAGAAGCAGCACCTCCCTGCTCCTGGCTGCTGCCCTCAGCCGCCCTGCAGCTCCAAGCAGCCTTTCCCTGTCACTCAGTCTCCCCCAGCAGAGAGATTAGCATTCACACGGAGGAAGGCACCACAGCAGGGCAGCGCCTCCCATCTTGTCAAGGAGCTAAGGTTCATTCCGGAAGCAGAGCCAGCTGGGAGCGGCGGTGTCCAGGTCAAGGCCCCACTGGAGGTTGGGACACGGTTCTGGGCACAGAGAGGTAGAGGTGGTCTTCTCCAGTACAGGCTTAGAGGGGGCTTCCCCACCCCAGCAATGCCACCCTCTGCCATCCTCTAGTCTGTTGCAGAACTACTGGTCACCCAGCTCTGTGTATGTGGAGAGACAGCAGGAAGGACCACAGAGTGAGGATGTGAGGAACTCTAGCCATCCTGAATCTACCACTGTTCAGTAATTTACAGTTCAAACTGGATTGTGCCAGCTCACATATATGGGACACTTACCCAACGTGCTAAACATCTTCCATGCATTATCTAATCAACCCTTACAACAACTCTAAGACACAGATACCAGTAGGATCTGCATCCTACAGCTAAAGAAACTGAGGCACAGAGGTGTTCAGAAACCCAGGCCACAGAGGTAGGATGTCCTGGTGGAACAAGGTTCACACCCAGGAGCTCTGACTCTGGACACCTTGCTCTCGGACTCTGTTATTTCACAGTAGCCAGCACCCTGGACCAGAAGGGACCCCACCCTTTGCCTCAGCTCTCCCTCTGTAGTTGCCCTTTATTTGCCCTCTCCCAAGCCGCTGAGCACGCCTGCTCCCATTCCCAAGCAACGGCTCTTTGCAAGGAAAGGGAGGAAAAAGGACTCAGCCAAAGGACTCAGCCTCCGTGGGGACAGTGTCGTAGTCAGGATTTAAGCAATTCCCCCATTTGGAGGTCCACCCTGGCCCTGAGCTTCACACTAACCCCTGTGATGGGAGCCAGTGGGCCGAGGAAGGGGCACCCAGGTCCCAGGAGCCTTCTGTGGGGAGCTCTAGGCTGAGAGAGGCAACTTTCTGCAGCAGAAGCTGCAAATGTACAGATTGCGCAGAGCCCAGGGGTGGGAGAGGCCCCGGGAATAAGAGGCGAGCGTGGGCTGGGTGTGCGGGGAAGGTGTAAACACAATCTGCTCCCACCAAAGCCAGCCTGCTCCCTGGGGGAGACAGCCCCCCCACCCAGCCCACATGGCACCCCAGCTGCCCAGGCAACCTCCAAGCCCAGGTAACTACAGCCCCTCTGGCCGCCAGCAGCCCCTTCCTCCCTCTTTCCCGCCCTTCATCTGGATGGGATCCCTGGAGCAGCCACCGCCTCCGGTGCAGGTTCTTGGAACAGGGCTGTGGAGGGGCGCTGCCCTGGGGAGGTGCATCTGGGCCATAAGCCAGCTCCATGACCTTGGCCTGACAATTCCTCACACCAGTGGAAGGAGATGGGCAACTTGGAAATGGCAGCAAGGATGAGGTGACAGGAACATGGCAAATAGATTAGAGAATAAATGCAGATAGGATCGGGGAACACAGACGGGGTCCCAGGAACAGTGCCCTCTGGCTCTCAGCCTGACAGGCCTGTCACCGGGAAGGCCGATGCCTCCAAAGAGAGGGACAGGCTGACAGGAGCTGAGACAGACGGTCACAGGCTCATGGCCTGGGTCAGGCTGGCGCTGTGGCTTTGCCTCTGCAGGCTCCTTCCCTAGTGTGACTTTCCCCCTGCCTCCTGCCTGCCCTACTTTGAGAGGCTCCCACAGAACTGCCTTCGCACACATCCCAGCCAGGCTCCCCGAGGTACCAGCAGCCCCTCCCCAGCGGGGTACACCTCCTCCCCCACCCTGAGCACCTCCCCAGCGGTTCCCTCTCCTCTGTGGCATCCCTCACCCTTTCCCTTCCCTCCCTTCAGAGGCGGAGCGGCGGCTGAGGTGCTGCTGTCTAGAGAACTCCATCTCCTACTGCCTGGAAGTCAAGGGCAAGGGCCAGCCAGGCAGAGACAACACCACTGGGCTGGGAGGGGGCTGGCTGGGGAGGAGAGACGTGTGTGCACAGAGGCACGGGGGGCTTTTGAAGACTAATAGCTGTGAGATGTCTGGAGCAGCTGCCTGCAGGGTCTGCGCCTGGATCTGGGAGCAGAAGCGGAAATCTGCTTTTATCTCTGCTCAGGATCGCGCAGGATTGGAAAAAGAGAAATGGCAGAGCAGCTGGGGGCAAAGAAGGCAGCCGCCGGGACTGAGCATCAGCAAATTGACAAAAACAAGTGTCAGGGTTTTTCCTTCCCACACACTACTGCCCGTTTGGAACACATGCGCTCGCGCACATACAGAAAACACATTCGGAGGACAAGCTGTCAGTTGCTCCCATCCAGCTGCAGGCAGACATGTCACAGATCCAACTGGCATTTCTTATTGATAATTTCAGCAGAGCAGCCAGTGACAGGATGAGCTCTGGGAACTGGGGAAAGGCAAATGACACAGAAGCAAGTGCGGCTGTGGCAAACTGACACCAGCACCTCGGACCACAAGCGGAGGCTTAACAGAATAGCTCCTGGGCTGACAGGCAGTCAGCCAGGCCAGCAAACCACCCCCAACCCGTGCAAACTGTGTTGGGTTCCAGGGGGAGGCCGCCTGCCATGGTGGGTAGGAGCGTGGGCCCTGCAGCTCCAGTGTGAGCCTGGGAGCCTCCACTTCCTAGCTAGGTGACGTTGGGCAAATTATTTAACCTCTCTCTGTGTTTTCCCATTTAGAAATTGTGGATAATAACATTACCAGGCTCTGTGGGTGACTGAGGATTAAATTACAGAATGAATGGAAGCCCTTGCTTAGTAAACGTGAGCTATCAGCTGTCCCTTGCTCCTGGGGTCTCCTCACTCCTTATTTATTCCTACCTCTTGCCTGGGCTGCTGGCTGCCTCGGAATCAGCCTGGTGGACCCAGCAAGTCCCTCACCCTAGGTTTTCTCAGGCTTAGCAGTCCCTCAAAGAAGCCTCAGGAGCTCAGAGGGAAGGAAGCCCGTAACAGAACAGTGAGTACGTCTGCTCTTTCTGCCAGGCCCAGCCAGGTCCTGCTCAGGAGCCCATACCCAGGGCCTGGGGGAAGGGGAGACTGGCATCTACCTTCTCTAGTGCTGCTTCCCCCCATTCTCCCTCTTGCTGCTGCTCCGGCTCCCACAGCATCCTCCTGGGCTAGGGGACGAACCAGGACCTGAGCTGAAACAGAAAACCGAACAGATCAGCACTTCTCCCACACCTGGGGATGAGACTTGCATTTCAGAGTGGATGTCCCAGAACACCGCCTCTCCCTTGGACGCCCTCTGACACTGCCCTCATGCCCCAGCACGACCACCTTGCCATCCCCAAGCCTAGAAAGTATGGTCAAACCACACCTGGTTCTCTTCAAACTAACCCTTGCCCCATTGCCTGGAACACAACAGGCTCAAGGTAGCAGCCAAAGGCACGAGTCCATCTGCCTACTTTGAACCTCCGTCAGTGACCAAAAGAGCTGAACACTGCCTGCTATCCTCCCACATGGCCGGGCCTTGCCTATTTCTTCCTGCCTGTCCCCAGCCTTGCCCTCTGCCCTCCCCAGCTCCCAGCCCTGCCCTACCTGCCTGGGCCAGCTGATCCCAGTCTCTGGGCCTGAGCCCCACCTGCAGAGGTGAGGGCTTACTTCAGAGGTTCTTTCTCCCTAAACAGAGGAAAGCACTGGGTCAGGATTGAAGGGCACGACCTTCCCATGTTTCTGACTCTCCTATTCCTCCTCCTCCCATCCCTATCAATTCACCCCAATATTCAGGGGCAGGACCACCTAAGGAATCAGTTGGCATTTAGGACAGTGTGACTGGAGAGTAGAAATGTCACCCCCACCGCCAGCCCTCCACGGCAGCCACCATCAGCAGGTGGTTCCTCGATGTCAGACCAATTTTTCCAGTTAACTGGGTCCCAGGGAGTTAATAGGCAACTGCTTCCTTCCGGCTAAGTCACGCCAGGCCTGGCCTGGCCAGATGGTCCTCAGATTTGGCCTTTTCTCTCCTGCCAGGAGGTCCAGGTCCATTTCATGTAGAAGAGACCCTGCCTGGAAGTCAGGGGCCTGAACGTCCCGCATTAACCACAAATGAGATAGATGATCGGGAGCAAGCCACCTAAATCTCCCTGTCCCTCCGTTTCCACAACCATTAACCAAAGATTAAAACCACATGTCCTGCCAATCCTCTGGGGTCACTGAGCCTTCCAAGTGAGTTAATATATAAGAAACCTCTGGAGAAAACTAAAGCACAGGTCCCGAGCATGAAACAAGACAGCTGCTAGCATTTATGGAGCAATCACTCTGCACCCTCACCAAAACCTGGCAACCACTCTGTTATTAATCCTAGTTTACATATAAATAAACCGATTGTTTTTGTAAATGTCCCCCATAGTCTTTCCATTAGTAAGAGGGAAGCCAGGATTTAAATTATCCCTGCCCAACTCCAGACCTGGGCTCAATAGCGTGGACCACTTAGCATTTGAGGGCCTCCTATCAGGGGAGGCCCAGGGGTGGTCATTTTAGCTGATTTAACTAATGATATCAATCAGGCTCTATTATGATGATCCCAGCTGGCCTATCGAGTTGAGGTGTCACAAAAATGCCGCCGTTTCCTGTACAGGCCCAGGGCTTCCCATTGGGCCTTCTGATCATCAGAATCTCAGGACTCAGAATCCCAGGACTCAGATGACAGGAGACAGAAAGACTGAAGTTCTCTCGATTGCCAGTTTCCGCATATCAAAGGGCCACATTGCTGGCAGGTCCCCACTCAGACATGGATGGTCACAGTACCCGCCACCTGAGTCCTCCCTGTGTGGAGACACCCTCCTACCAGTGGGCCCTGACCCAAAGATGTCATCGGATCTTTTTTACTCTTTGTTTCACTGGGAGCAAAAAAGTCACTCTTCAGACAGGTCTCCCATGCTAGGTGAGTCCATAGGCACAGAAGGAACCGTTCATGCACTGGAACGTCATAAAGATTTGCTGATTTTTTCCAGTGTTTCGTTGGGATAGGCACCCCTATCATCAAACGACACTGGGCACCCAGGGAAGGAAAAGTCTGGAAGTTCCCCCAACTTCACCCCCTAAAGACCACATGGCTCCAGCCTAGGGAAGAGTTAACTTTCTGGCCACTGGAGACAGCGTCCTGCCCGCAGGGGCTACCCAGCCAATGGCACTCAATGCTGATGATGTCATGCTCCTCCCGCGCCTTCTATTGGGGACTGGACAGCGAATCCTGCTGGAGGCTCAGGCAGCGGAGCCGAGGCGGGGCGGGGGCAGAGGAGGAGGAGGGGGAAGGGCAAGGAAAGGCGAGCAAAGCCACACAGAGCTACTCCTGCCTCATCCCTCCCTCCACTTCCCTGTGCCTTCCGACAGAAGGTGCCCCGGGGGACCGCCCCTTACTGGAGATAGAAAAACAGCGGCTTTGGTCCAGAGGAGCGGGCTGAGGGCTCCCATTCCCAATCGCAGAAAACAGACATCCAGCCTGCCCACCAGGTGGACAGGGAGCAGGGTGCCTAGGGCAAGGGCCAGGATAGGGTGCACGCACAGGCGGGCAGACAGGCACACACGTGCACCCCCAGGCGTGCACAGCCGCAGCTTCCTTGGCAGCACCCTCCCTCCCCCAGCCCAGACTCCTGCCTTACCTGCCTGAGGACTGAGGGTCTGCGTCCACGCTGCTGCCCCTAGCTGCCCCATCCACGTCGCTGGGCTCTCTGTGGGAGCAAGAGTAGGCAGGAAGAGCTGTGGCTGTGCCCAGTCCCTCCCTGTCCCTCCACAGGTCCCGGCCGTATTGGGCTATGGGACTGGAGGCTGCAACTAGAGCCTTTGAAGCTGTAAGTTCCCCTGCTCTGAGACTGAGCTCTCAAGGGTTCCTCAAAATGCCCTCCCAGCCCCCCTGAAGGTCCAGGCAGCGTCTGCCCACCTTCAGCTTGGTGGCAGCCCAGCCCCATGGTTCCCCCCAACCACCACCAACCGCCAGCCATAGCCCGGTCAGTTTCTCACGGTTGGACTCGGTTGGCAAATCGGCGGCGCCAGAGCATGGCCAGGGTGCTGAGCAGGAAAAGGGTGGTGCACATGGCGCAGCTGCCCCATCCCCTCCCAGACCAAGTCTGCAGAAGGCCACAGGCGAGGGGCCAAAATGGCCCCAGCCAGCTCTCAGGAGCCACTGCCGTCTGTCCTGCGGTTCCTGCTGGGGATGGATTAGGAGGCTCAAGCTGATTAGTGGGTCAGCGGCCGCGACCTTGTGAGGACTGATTAAGCTCGCTGGGCCCAGGTTCTCCCCTCCAGCGGTAGGGTCAAGGCGTGGAGTGTGGCATTGAGCACGTATTCGGAGTGTCGATCTGATGAGACTGGGCCTTGCTTGCAAGGAGCTGCCAGTCTAGACAAATGTGCTGTGAAGTACAATGACTGCAGTAGAGTGACCCAGGAGTTATTCAAGGCGCCTACAGGGCACTTTCAGAGTTGCAGGCATCAGGGCAAGGGCCTAAAGAGGAGCAAGGGCATCTGAATTTGCAGTGCGCAAGGCAGAGGAGCCCTCAGACAGAAGATGCTGCCGAAGCTACTGACATGAAAGCATGGAGCATCTGCCAGTAACTGCAAGGTGAGTGGAGGTGAAGCAATGATGTCACCGTGGAAGCATCAGGAGAGGAGGAAGAAAGGGGAGGGATATTCGAGAATGAAGCCAGAGAGATAGGGGAGACTCAACAGTGAAGGGCTGGCAGTTTTACCCTCTGGACAATCCTCTCCAAACTTTGCTGATTACACACCCTCTTCAGTAAAAGGCAGGATTCAAGTGTGCATTCACAAAATAGATAGGGGCAGCCACTTACAAATTATAGGCTAGACTACTATACAGATTCATTCCTACACCGTACGACTACATTACATTTGCAAAGGATGAGATATAAAATTTCTCCTATTTTCTTTCCACATCCCAAGGGGACCTGTTGGGCAGCCACTTGGTCACACCAACTTTGGGAAACTGTTGGGTGTGTATGTGGAGCATGGAGCCAGCCATGGCCATGCTGAGACATGGGTCTGGGAGTGATGTAAGAATCTGAACCCACCCACTCCCCTCCACCCCCTCCAAGACCCCCCAGGAGGCATTAGATTTTCCTTCCCTCAGCAAGGGGGAAGCAGTGTCAGAGGCACTGCCCCAAGGTCCCCCAGGCACCTGAACCCTGAGCTCCCAGGAAGGGCCCAGGCTGCAACTGAGGCTGGCCAGGGTGAGTTCTCCTTGCCTCCCCCGGACCTTAAAGTCAGATTTTAAGAATAAATACACGAACCATAGCGAAAGCGCAGAGCCAACCCTTAGCAATGCTCGGGCAATGGGACATCAAGTCTTGAGCGAGGACAAGGGTCACCGGGAGCCTGAGTGACATCTCTTCCTGACACTGCCAGGTCCTGTCTGGCCTCAGGCTGTCCCCAGGACTGAGCAGCCGCTGCAGGGCAGCCACCATGGGATTCTCCCCCACCTCTGGCCCAATCTCACACTGCCCTGGACAGGGCCCACCAAGAGGAAGGATTTGCTTCCCCTAGGCCCAGAATGGGGCCTTTGGTGCTGGCTGAGGTGTCCCCAGCGGCCTGCGGCTTCCTCAAGACTTTTCGACTGCCAGGTCCTTCTGCCCTATCCGGTGCCTCTCCGGACTTCCTCCGCCACCAGCTGGGCCAGAATTCAGGGCAGCGCCTGGTTCTTGCCTGTCCGTGTCATTCATAAGCCACGGGGGACTTCTGGCCGCCGCCGCCGCGTGCGTGCACCAAGGGCATGGCGGTGCTGGGGGGTAGGAAAGGGGGAGCAGGCCTCTGGCGCCCGAGGTCGGAGGTGCGCTCAAGTTCCGACAGCCGGGGCGGTAGGAGGGTGGGGGGAACGACCCGTGCTAACCCCTCAGAGCCTGGGCGTCCAGAGCTGTGGGAGTGGCGCCGCGGCCCCCAGCTGCTGGCTCGGGGGCTGGGGGAGAGGCCCGGGCGAGGGGAGCCCAGCTCGGTCCGCGGCGGCCGCCGGAGGGGCTCGCGTTCGCCCACACGGGCGGGCTGGCGGTCGGCCTTGCCGCGAAAGCTCGGGAGTGTTGGACTTTAAGTCAGTTCCCCGCCGCAGGAAGGGTCTGCACGCGCACACACGCGACGCCGCAAGCATTGGGACCCGGGACCCAGCGCTCCCAGCTCGCGCCCGCCCCGGCGCACTCCTGTGCGGGCCGCGCCGCCCAGCGCCGCGTGACCGCCCATTCCTCCGGGGACCCCCAGCGCCCCGGCCACACCTACCCGAGCCCCGCCCCGCGGTGCAACTCCGCCGTGGCCTGCGGGTGGGCGGGCGGCAGTCGCATCGCCCCCACCCCGAGCAGCCTTCACCTTGCCGGCATTGGCTCACCCACACGGGGCTGGGGGTTTGGAGAGGATTTGTTTTTTTAAACATTTTCCAGCAGACCACATCCCCGCCCCCCCGCTGGCGGTCCCCCGCCCCCCGCACATATACCCTGCACACACGCACGCACACACACACACACCCGGCGCGCACAGACACACGCTCCCTCCCTCCGCGCTCTACCCCTCGCCCGCCCGCCGCGCACGCAGCCGGCCCCGGCTCCCGGCGCCCCGCGCCCCGCGCCCAGCGCCCCGCGCCCCGCCACCGCTGCCGCCGAGCAAAGCCGGGCTGGGCTTGGAGCTCCTCATGGAGAAAGTGCCAGGCGAGATGGAGATCGAGCGCAGGGAGCGGAGCGAGGAGCTGTCCGAGGCGGAGAGGAAGGCGGTGCAGGCTACGTGGGCCCGGCTCTATGCCAACTGCGAGGACGTGGGGGTGGCCATCCTGGTGAGGTAGGTGTCGCCCGGGGCCCGGCCGGGCCCTGGGCAGGGAGGGCGGTAGCGGCTCCGGGCAGAGGCGGGCTGGGCCCGGGTCCGAGCTCCAGCGCCACCTCCCCAGCCGCGAATGGGGCCGGTCCGAGGTCGGCGGGGCAGGCAGCGTGGGGCGCCGTGGGGTGAGCCTTCCCTGGCTCCGGCGCGGTGCTCACCAGGAACTAGGAACCAGATGCAGGAGAGCACCTCGGTCCTCCTCCTCTCCCCGGCCTCAGAACTCCTTGCTGGGCCAGCGACCCCAGACACCCAGCCAAGCTGTCAGACGCACACATTTTTCTGGCCTTTCAAAGGGAGTAGCAGGGGCTCCCCATTTTAGAGATGGGAAAACCGAGGCTCAACTCAGAAGGGGGACAAAGAGGAGCAGACCCCTGTCTCCAGCTCCGCCGCTTGCCGGATTCAAAGCCTCTTGGAAGAACAGAGAGCAAAGAGCAGAGGTTGAGAAGGAGGAGAGCACGGGGGTCCAGTGTTCCCAGCTGCCCTCTTCCTGCTGGACGGCATGGGCCAGCAGGAGCTCCCAGGGCAGGCACAGGTGAGTGGAGAAGCAAACAGTCCCCTAGGATACAATCCCTGCTGAGTTAGGAGGGTGAGGGGAAGAAGAGAGAAGCTTGAGGAGACAGGGCCTAACTCTAAAACCCCCCACCTAGGGAGGAAATGCAGTGGTTTGGGCTTAGGGGTCATTCAGGCACCACATGCCCCTGAGAAACCCACAAACAGAGAGCACCCCATTCTTCACACACCTGCGCATAGAGCACACACACCATCCTCATAGAGGTGATGTGTCCAAGCCTCGAAAGCTAGTCACTGACTCTAGCTACAAATCCATGCTCTCTTCCCACACGTGCTGGTCCCTGGGGGTGCAGGCAGAGGAGCCCCAGACCATGCTCACCCTCAAGCCCCTGTTCTTGGCAGAGGAAAGTGGTCAAATCTAGGACAGAGTAGGGCAGCCTTGTCATGTGCAGACGGGGTGAAGCCTCGCTCTGGAAGGGCAGCTTTAGTGCATGCCTGACTCCCAGGCCAGCTCCGTCTCCAGCTTCTTCTCCCTGTGGCCTCTCCCAAGCCTGGGACCTATCCAGTTCCACCATGATATGCCCTGATTCCAACTCAGAAGCAGATTTTGGTGGAAAAAGAGCAGGAAGCCTTTCTAAGGGTTCTAAGGAGTTACAGGAGCGCTCCTGAGGATAGGGCAGCTATCTCAGCAGCCCCCAGGCCCAGCAACACAGCTGGGAGTGGCAGGAAGCTAAGAGGGACATTGGGATACTAGGGCCTCAGACGCTCGGAACCACCGATCCCCACACGTGCTGGCACCCATACAAGCACACAGTGGGTAGCAGAGCCACAGACGCGCCAGACTGCATCCTCGGAGGGCGCCATCAGCTGCGTGTCAGCACCTGCAGCCCACCGGCCTCGCATGCATCTGGCACACTCATGTGTCACCATGAAGTGAGGCAGGGTCTTCAGGACCTTGGAGGTTTTCTGTCCCAACCCCTGCCATGTACCTGTGCGGATACGTGGAGGAAGGGCTCACCATCCGCATCTCGGGGCACCACTGACCCTCCCCAGGAAGGGGACCAGGGAAGGGCACATGCCAAGGGGGAAATGAAACACTGAGACCAGGGCCATGTCTGGGCAGTCCGAGTTTCCAGCAAGGATTTCTTTCTCTCTCTACATCCCTCTTCCAGTTCCCCACTCCTGTCTCGCAGAGGGGCCTGGGCCTGGGCTGGGGGAGGTCATTACCAATGCGCTCAGTGCCCAGAGTAACCCCTCACTACTCTGACTCCACTTCTGTGTGGACCAGAGCCCAGCCCCAGGACAGCCTGGCCCAGCTTTGTCTCAGCCACTCCCTGCCAGCCCAAGCACCGCAGGGCTTTGCTTTCCTTTTTCTCTCCTCCTGTCTCTGTCCAGGGCCTGGGCAGTGGGGGAAGGGGAGGAAAGGGGCATAAGGGCTCCTGAAGGTCCCTCCTCAGATCCTAGGCCCGTCAGTCTTGACACAGCGCCCTGTCTTCCCACACACAACGTACACATCCTCAAGGTCAAGGCCCCAGCTGCAGCCCTCTGGCCAGCACTCTCACCTCTGCCCTCCCCACTGCGCCAGGCCAGTGCCGTCAGCCCTTATGAGCCTGCAGGGCAGGAGGGAGGCAGCTGCACGTCCACATCCCCAACCTGGAGAAGTTGCCACGTTGGTGGGGGTGGAGGAGGCGTTGCTTTTGGAGCCTGAGGCAGACCCCACACTTCCATTCCCTGCCAAGGAGGAGACCAAGAGGGAACACCCACCCTCCCTCCTGGTTGTAACTCTGACACCTTCCTCCTCACACTCAGACAGGCCTATTTCAGGCTCTCTTGGAAGCCCAGATGTCTCTGGGAGCTGAGAAACTCCCCAGGGCTGGCTGTGGAGACTCCTCCCTGGCAGCACAGGCTGAGATCGGGAGGGTCTCAGGTGGAAACACCACGGAGCCAGGAGGAAGGAGCCAGGCACATGGGCCCCAGGGGCGACAGAACCGTGGAGGGTCTGGGTGGGGGCTCCCTGAGACTGTCATTCCTCAGGGCCACAACCCGGTGGTGGGTGTTGAGGCAGGAGACACCTGGTTCCCAGGCCACGATCCCCTGGCACAGCTGTCTCTCCAGGCAGTGTGGGGAAACTGTCAAAGTAGGGCCTGCCTGGGCCCTTTCCTGGCACTGCCATCTACTTCGGTGGGCAATCTTGGACATCAATTCCTAATTCATAGGATGGGGATTAAAACAGTGCCTATCTCAGGAGAGAATTGCAAGGATTTGTGAGATCATACAGTAAGTGCTCAATAAATGTTCCCTGTTCTTTCCTCATCAGTAAAATAGAAGTAATACCTGCTTAGCTGTGGCAATTAAATACAGTAACAGGCTGGGCACGGTGGCTCACACCTGTAATCCCAGCACTTTGGGAGGCTGAGGTAGGCAGATCACCGGAGGTCAGGAGTTCAACACCAGCCTGGCCAGCATGGTGAAACCCTGTCTCTACTAAAAAGACAAAAATTAGCCAGGTGTGGTGGCGGGTACCTGTAATCCCAGCTAACTTGGGAGTCTGAGGCAGGAGAATCCCTTGAACCCGGTAGGCAGAGGTTGCAGTGGGCCAAGATTGCGCCACTGCACTCCAGCCTGGACAACAGAGTAAGATTCTGTCTCAAAAAGAAAAAAGAAAAGAAAAAGTACAAAAACATTGTAACACATCAGGCAAATATATATATATATCATTGTTAATATTTTGTGTCAGGGTCTTGCTCTGTTACCCAAGCTGGAGTGCAGTGGTGCCATCAAGGTTCACTGCAGCCTCCAATCCTGGGCTCATGATGCGATCGGATCTTCCTGCTGCAGCCTCCCAAGTAGCTAGGAGTACAGACGGTCACCACCACACCCAGCCAATTTCTTTCTTTTTTTCTGGAGACAGGATCTCACTATGTTGCCCAGGCTGGTCTCGAACTCCTGGCCTCAAGTGATTTTCCTGCCTTGGCCTCCCAGAGTTCTGGGATTACAGGCATAAGCCACCACACCTGGCCTTTTATTATTATTATTATCATTATTTCTTTTGATTCAGGGTCTCACTCTGTCACCCAGGCTGGAGTGCAATGGCACGATCTTGGCTCCCTGCAGCCTTGCCCTCCTGGGTTCAAGTGATCCTCTCACTTTAGACTCCTGAGTAGCTGGAATCAAAGGTGTGCACCACCATACGTGGCTAATTTTTTGTATTTTGTAGAGACAGGGTTTGCCACATTGCCCAGGCTGGTCTCAAACGCCTGAGCTCGAGCAGTCCACCCGCCTTGGCGTCGTAAAGTGCTAGAATTACAGGCGTGAGCCACCGTGCCCGGCCATATCATTATTTTTTATTGCAATTGTAAAACCTCCAAAGTTTGAGATGCTCGTTTAAGTCCAAATTGGGTTTTTCACATTTGTCCCTCATTACAGTGCTTCTCCAGAAAATTCAATGTATTTTCAAACCCATCGCCTCACGTGTCCTCACCCGTGTATCCATGAAGCAGTAAGCATAGCCCTCCTCTCGCCCTTCTGCAGACAGGGAGCTTGTGAAGCAGTTTGCCCAAGATCACAGTTGGCCTCTGGGAGGGGCCCTCCTGAGTCTCCACGCAGACTGTGCCCTGGTCACTGTGCAAACTTCCCCCGCCAATAGCAGCTCCACCACCAGCAGGGACGACCCGGCCAGATGCCCTCTCCACATCTGTTCTAGCCCTCACATCTGAGACTCGACTCCTGGCCAAAGGGCTGCTTCCGCAAATTATCAGCTCTCTCTGATCACAAAGGGGACACATGAAGGGGCAGAACAACCTGGAAGAACAGGTCCAGGACACTCCATACATTTTCTGGGGATTCACTTAAGTTATGTAAGTTCTAATTGAGTCCATGCCCATGTCTCACATGATGTCCAGCCTCGACAGGGAGAGGAGGTACAAAAGTCATTGTCGGCCGGGCGTGGTGGCTCACACCTGTAATCCCAGCACTCTGGGAGGCTGAGGCAGGCGGATCACCTGAGGTCGGGAATTTGAGACCAGCCTCCAACATGGTGAAACCCCATCTCTACTAAAAATACAAAAAATTAGCTAGCCGGGCGTGGTGATGGATGCCTCTAGTTCCAACTACTCAGGAAGCTGAGGCAAGAGAATCACTTGAACCCAGGAGGCAGAGGTTGCAGTGAGCCAAGATTGCACCACTGCACTCCAGCCTGGTCTCTACTAAAAATACAAAAAATTAGCCAGGAGTGGTGACAGATGCCTGTAGTCCCAGCTACTCAGGAAGCTGAGGCAAGAGAATCACTTGAACCCAGGAGGCAGAGGTTGCAGTGAGCCAAGATTGCACCACTGCACTCCAGCCTGGACAACAGAGTGAGACTCCATCTCAAAAAAAAAAAAAAAAAGCCGTCATTTTCCACACTGCAGTGCCCCAGCTAGGGCAGGGGGTCAGAGGGTGCGTGAGAGCCTTGGGATCCCGTCTGACAGGCTGGAAGGAGGGTAGGGAAGGTCACCTGAGTGGTGCCAATGGCCTCGGGGGCAAAGCATTTCGCCTGGGCCAGTCTGCTCCAGGTAAGGCATGTCTGACACAGGAAAAGGGTAGTAGAAAGGAATGTGGCTCACCTGAGGAACATTTTCCCAATGGTAAGTAAAGCCACTGAGCCAGGACAGGGATGATGTGAGTATAGTGGGGAATGTGGACATGAGTTTGAAGAAGTGGGTGGGGGACAGTTCAGAAGTCTGGAATGCCCGGTTAAGGAGTTTCGCTTTGGCAGACAATAGGGAGCCATTGAATGTTTTCGAGCATGAGCATGACTTCATGAAAGCAGTATCTTGGGAGAATCAGAACAGTTTCAGACCAACTGGAGAGGATTTAATTTCAGATCAACTCATGGTTCCAGAACCTGAGCTCTTACCCTCTCAGCTATGACTAAAGCAGGCCCTGAAGAGGGTGTAGAGTTTGGGAAGGAAGCAAGAAGCGAGGAAGACAGAGGCCTGGGAGAGGAAGCCACCAGCCTGAGCAAGCCTGGCAGATAGACACGGCCAGACTTGGTAGGGGTGAGCCAGCTTGGCCAGAGCGAGGAGGGTCTATGCTGAGGTCTACGGATGGTAGTGAAAACAGTGATGGCGCAGGGGTGGGGGAGACTGGGGTCCACTTATTCAGCCCCCACTGTCCTGGAAGCTTCAGGGTGGGCCCGAGGCAGCCTCCAGCTTCAGCGACCACCCCTGTTCCTCTTGCCAGGTTCTTTGTGAACTTCCCCTCGGCCAAGCAGTACTTCAGCCAGTTCAAGCACATGGAGGAACCCCTGGAGATGGAGCGGAGCCCCCAGCTGCGGAAGCACGCCTGCCGAGTCATGGGGGCCCTCAACACTGTCGTGGAGAACCTGCACGACCCCGACAAGGTGTCCTCTGTGCTGGCCCTTGTGGGGAAAGCCCATGCCCTCAAGCACAAGGTGGAGCCAGTGTACTTCAAGGTATGCGCCCTGATCTGCTGCAGAGCCACCACCGCCCACACCTCATGGCCATCTGCAGCTCGAAGGCTCTGGGAGGGCTCCCTGGGGCAGCAGAGGTGATCCCACGAGTGGCTGCGAGAGGGAGGGGCAGTGCCTGGCAGCAGGATGGAGGGGCTCAGTCCAGGGCAACCCTTGTCCTGAGAGCACTGGGTTCCCAAAGCTGGCAGACTGTTGTGTTAAGAATGATCCTCTTGGCCGGGCGCAGTGGCTCAAGCCTGTAATCCCAGCACTTTGGGAGGCCGAGACGGGCGGATCATGAGGTCAGGAGATCGAGACCATCCTGGCTAACATGGTGAAACCCCGTCTCTACTAAAAAATACAAAAAAAAAAACCTAGCCGGGCGAGGTGGCGGGCGCCTGTAGTCCCAGCTACTCGGGAGGCTGAGGCAGGAGAATGGCGTAAACCCGGGAGGCGGAGCTTGTAGTGAGCCGAGATGGCGCCACTGCACTCCAGCCTGGGCGACAGAGCGAGACTCCGTCTCAAAAAAAAAAAAAAAAAAAAAGTAGAATGATCCTCTTGGCCATACATGGGGCAGAGGGGCCCGGGGGTTGCGGGACGCAGGGTGCCCAGGCGTTCACTCCCCCTTCCTCCCTTTGCCCCCAGATCCTCTCTGGGGTCATTCTGGAGGTGGTCGCCGAGGAATTTGCCAATGACTTCCCACCTGAGACGCAGAGAGCCTGGGCCAAGCTGCGTGGCCTCATCTACAGCCACGTGACCGCTGCCTACAAGGAAGTGGGCTGGGTGCAGCAGGTCCCCAACGCCACCACGTGAGGAGGCGGGTGAGGGTGGGCTGGGCAGCCTCCCCGCCATGTCCTATCCTGTCCCATCTCTCCTGGGGCCCTGGGGCTGACCACCTGGGCAGGCACACTTGAGGCAGGCCAACTCTGGGGTCTGACATGTAAGAACAGGCATAACAGGAAAAGGCCTTCAAGATGGCTCCGCTGTGACTTCAGGCTGCGCAGAGCCATGGGCCCTGAGCAAAAATCCTCCCAAAGAGCCTTCCCCTTCCCTAGAGCTAGGGAGTGCTCAGAGCACCCAAAGCCACAGCTGCCCAGGCAGAGAGGCGCCAGAGGCTCCCAGCGGGAAGGTCCAATCGTCAGGCTCAGAGGCAGCCCAGGCCAGCCCAGCCACTTCCTCCCTGGGTGCCAATCCTCCCTGGGTGCCAATCACAAGGGGCTGTTTTCTCATCTCATGCCGACCAGTGCTGCTAAATGCCCTCTGCCTCAACAGGGCTAGAGCCAGGAGAATCACGAGGACACATACACACACACATGCCCCAGCCCACCAGGGAGCTACATGGGTGTCACTCACACGCACACAAGTAAGGGGATGTTTACTTCCAGGCTGACCTGGAGGCTGGGCTTCCAGTTCTGGGCCCAGGAGGTGGCTCAAGGAGGGTGGCCGCCCTCTGTGACTCCTGCTGACTCCTGCTGAGCGTGAGGGGAGGGCTAGCCCCCAGACGTGGCGGTTGGGAACACTCAGCCTCCCTGGGCCCCCAAGGGGAGGCTGACTCTGGGAGCTGAATGGAGAGGCGGAGGCAAGGCTGGAGTAGGAAGGAGCGAGAGGAGCGGAGGCGGGAATGGGAAGCAGGGGTCAGCCAGCAGCCCGGGACACGCGTGGTAGAGTAACATTCCCAGCAGTTTCCCATGGAAAAGGCGGCGTCTCCCGCCGGGCTCCGCACGGGCCCCCAAGACTGCCGGCCCTCCTGTTCACAGGCACAGCTCCTGGAGGAGGTCCCCTGAGGGCAGCTGGGGACGCCAGGCCTCCTGCCCTTCCTGCTGCTGACCACACTGGCCCCGGGCTGGCTCCTGCTCCCCTCCCCCTTCTCCCGTCAGCACCACCCCAAGAGAGTGGAGTCCTCGGGAACTGCTGGCTGGAGCCAAGCCAACTCCAGATGTGCACAGCTGGGCCCTGGCCTGCCTGAGACCTGGGAGTCAATGGGAAACAAGCAGATGCTGGCCCACCAGAGGAGGGCACTGGCAGAGCATGGAGAGCTGTGGTTGCCTCCTCACCCCCCACCAGCTGTCACCCAGAGGGTCCAGGGAAAAGACAGGGGAAGAGGAGGGGAAGGGGCTTGCTTGCCCTCCCACCCCTTTCCCCAGGCAGGCTCTGCTGCCAAAGATGAGTTTGTTTACAGCCAGGACACAAGACTTCCTGCTTCCAGAGAAAAGGGCTTTTTTACAAGGGCCAAGAGGGACTGGAAAGAGCTGGCTGGGCGCGAGCCCCAGTGAATCAGAAACACATGGCCCAAGTTCCCCAGCACGCTGCCCATCCTGCCCTCCCCACCCTGCCCTAGGGACTAAGATGTCTCCAAACCCCAAACATTTTGAAACTGCCGAAGTCTCCTCCTCCGCCCACTTCTGCTCCTTGTGGACTGAATGGAGATGGGCTACCGTGGAAACTGACACTCCATGGGGGTTAGCTCCCAGCCGTCAAGTGGTGGGGTTGCCCCACATCCCTTTACATCCTCTAGCCCACCCCTAGTGTCCCTGGCCTGAGCCTGCAGAGCCTCTGGCTGCCAGGGTCCCCATGGGCTCGAGGGTAGGACAGAGTTACAGAGCAGAGTCCTAGAAGGCCCTCGCCCAACTTCTCTTATCAGGGAAGCAGGGGTGGGCCAGGCGTCACCGTTTATTGAGCCGTCTCTGCTCCAGGGTGTGCGCCTTTGCGTGGGTGGGGGCGGGGGGGCACGATGATTGCAGTGGGGGCTGTGTGTACCGAGAATACGAGAATACACATGGGTGGCCCGAGGAGGGACGAGACAGGCCCAACAGAATGCACCACATTTCAGAATTAATGGAAAAAGCTCACATTGGTATGGTGCTATGCAGTTTGTGAAACACTTTTTTACCCAGTTTGTCACAAGACAGACATTATTCACATTTTAGAGATAAAGATCCGGAGCTCCCATGGGCCAGTAGACTTGCCTGAGATCACACAGCAGGTTCGTAGCAGGACGGAGACTAGAACTTGGGTCTCACGGTTGCTTTCAACTGCACTGTGCCGGCTCTCTTGGCAGGAAGTGAGCCTCGCCAGCCCCAGGTCCTCCCCCTTTCCCCCGAGGGTCCTTCCCTGCCTCTAGTAACGTATGTCCTTCCCTTCCTATCTCGTCCACAGCCCACCGGCCACACTGCCCTCTTCGGGGCCGTAGGACCCCTCCCTCCACCCCCCTCCCTGGCAGCACCTTGAGCAGAAGGCCGAGTTCTGAAGACCCCCCTTGATGCTCCATTTCTGGGTGCCAAGGAAGCTGGAGGAATCCCTGACTCAACTTCCCCGAAGGAGGCCTCTGTGGTGGCCACGGTCCCCTGCCTGGAGCTGCCGGGAGGCGGCGCTGGCTGCCTGGATGCTGACCCCAGCGCGGCGGGCAGGGTGGGGGACCCTTCCTCCTCGCAGAGCGGGGCCCACTCTTCTTAGCTTTTCTACTCACTGTTAGAGGGACCTAGCTGAGCGGCTGGCGGGAAGCGGGACAGGTCTAGGAGTCCCTTGGGGAATAAACCAGCCCCGTTTCTATCAGCCCAGCCGGCATGCAGGTCTGCACATCACCATCTAGAGTATCACGCACACATCTACCATATATACAGATATATTCTATATACGAGCTATATATAAATATATATATATACATATATATACACACACGTACATATCTAGAATGTGTATCCACGGGGCCCAGAAGCCTCGGTTCGGCCCCCACCTGTGAGTGGGGCAGGGAGCGGTTCCGGTTGTGCAGAGAACAGAGTGTTCTGGCAAAGAGGAAATCCCGCAGCAGCGCAGAGGACCTGGGCCTGGAGGGGCAGGGCTGGGGCAACCCGGCTTGGCGGCAAAGCCCAGCCCTTCTCAGACCAGCTCCCCACATTCCTGAATTCCACTTCCAGGCAGAAAGGAGTGGGCTCCCCCTACTCCCTCAGAGGAACTGACTCACTGACTGCCCTAGAATGGGCAAGGGCAGAGCGAAGTTCTGGATGGGATGACTGCACTAGGGGAGGGGCCTCCGTCCAGAAACCTCGACCGCCAGCTCCACCTGCCTTGGCCACCAGGGTAGCCTCGGGGAATCCGGGCTGCTGGGCAGCAGGTTGGCGGGACCACATGCCTGGGTCTCACCCTCAGCCCCGAGGGCCGAGGGCTTTCCCCACCCCCTTCTCCTCCTGGCCGGCAGTCGGCCCTGTCTATTTATGTGCGCCAGCCGTGCTGGGGGGCCCCCATGTGTGCCCCTTGGTCACATGTATCGTCTCCAAGGATGTTTTGCTGCTGTGGCTACTATGCCTGTGTCCCCTCCTGGCCCATCCTCATCTTCATCTGTGTAACTGCCTGTTCTCCTTTTCTAGTTTCTGATGTTTGTAACCAGACCCAGCTGTGTCATTAAACAGACCTGTTCTTGCTGTACCTGTGCACACTCGTGCAGTCTCTTCCTGCCACCTGCCCTCACCTCTGTCCCCCATCCCTGGTTCTGGGCTCCAGCCTTTTTCTTGAAAGTCCTCCCCTGACCTCCCACACCAAGGGTACCCCATCCCCTGTCCCACACCAAGGGCACCCCATCCCCTGTCCCACACCAAGGGCACCCCATCCCCTGTCCCACACCAAGGGCGCCCCATCCCCTGTCCCACACCAAGGGCGCCCCATCCCCTGTCCCACACCAAGGGCGCCCCATCCCCTGTCCCACACCAAGGGCGCCCCATCCCCTGTCCCACACCAAGGGCGCCCCATCACCTGTGTCTCACCTTTGGCTCCCCCTGGGCTTCTCTCTAAATTGGGGATTAAGATTGCTGTGGGTTCCTCACCTGGTTCATCAGGAACACAGAGCTGGAAACTGGAACTGGGGTTTTGTGGGGGCTGGGGGAGGTCAGCCTTGTTAAAAGGTCAGGAGACAAGGCCGGGCGCGATGCCTCATGCCTGTAATCCCAGCACTTTGGGAGGCCAAGGCGGGCGGATCACTTGAGGTCAGGAGATCAAGACCCTCCTGGCTGACGTGGTGAAACCCCATCTCTACTGAAAATACAAAAATTAGCCGGGCGTGGTGGCGCGCACCTGTAGTCCCGCTACTCAAGAGGCTGAGGCAGGAGAATCGCTTGAACCCAGGAGGAGGAGGTTGCAGTGAGCCGAGATAGCGCCTCTGCCTCTGTGACAGAGCAAGACTCCGTCTCAACAACAACAACAAGAAGTCAGGAGATTTTTAAGGTTTGGTTCTGGAAATCTCCTCCCAGCAAGAGTACAATAGGGAGGAAGGAATCAGAGGTGAGATATCCACACAAAAGGGCCCTGTTTGTCCCAGTACTTTAGTGATAGAGCCAAGGATTGAACCTTGACCTTCTTTCTTTTAGACGGAGTTTCGCTGTTGTTGCCCAGGCTGGAGTGCAATGGTGCGATCTCGGCTCACCGCAACCTCTGCCTCATGGGTTCAAGCGATTCTCTTACCTCAGCCTCTCAAGTAGCTGGAATTACAGGCATGCACCACCATGCCCGGCTAATTTTTGTATTTTTTTTTTTTTTTTTTTTGAGACGGAGTCTGGCTCTGTCATCCAGGCGGGAGTGCAGTGGCCGGATTTCAGCTCACTGCAAGCTCCGCCTCCCGGGTTTACGCCATTCTCCTGCCTCAGCCTCCCGAGTAGCTGGGACTACAGGCGCCCGCCACCTCGCCCGGCTAGTTTTTTGTATTTTTTTTAGTAGAGACGGGGTTTCACCATGTTAGCCAGGATGGTCTCGATCTCCTGACCTCGTGATTCGCCCATCTCGGCCTCCCAAAGTGCTGGGATTACAGGCTTGAGCCACCGCGCCCGGCCAATTTTTGTATTTTTTAGTAGAGACGGGGTTTCAGCATGTTGGCCAGTATGGTCTTGATCTCCTGACTTCAGGTAATTCGCCCACCTCAGCCTCCCAAAGTGCTGGGATTACAGGCGTGAGCCACCGCACCTGGCCTGAACCTTGACCTTCTAGACCTGAACACGGGAGGCTGTGCACAGGCAGAGCTGAGGGCCCAGCCCTGCTGCTCAAATTATATGCGGTAGATCAGCCCTTGGGGGTTTGAGAAAGGAAGCCTGCTTTCATCAGCCTTAAACCCCCAACACCTTCCCTGAGCTCTCAGCTCCCAGACCCCTTCCCCAGCCCTCTATCCCTCACCTCATAGCCTGCTGGGTCAGGCCTGCCCAGCCCCCACCCAATGATGGAGGCGGCAGCAGCAGCAGCTCCCTGAGAAGGGACCATGAGGTCACCAGCCCCGGGTGGGCTGCAGGAGAAGCAGGAAACAGCCTCTGCCCCTTGGGAGGCCTGCGGGCTGCCTGGGAAGACTCAGCTGACACGCAGGAAGAATCTTGTCTCCCAGACCATGAACTCCTTGAGTGCAGCCTCCGCCTTTGTCTCCTGGGCCTGGCACAGGGGAGGAACTAAGTAGAAATCCAAAGAATCAATAAATAACCACTCTTAGAAAGCAAGACAAGTACCCGGCACGGGCCAAGAGTGAGCTGTGTGAACTAAAACGGTGCAGGGCAGAGAGGACAGTGCAGGTCCAGCCTTCCCAGGGAGGCAATGCCAGAAGACAGCGTGCTGGCTCTGGGCCCAGACTCCATCTCTCACTGCTATGCGACCTTGGGTAAGTCACGCAGCCTTTCTGAGCCACAGTCACCTCTAACTTCATGTTCACTCACTGCAGGAGTGGTGCATGCCTGTAATTCCAGCACTTTGGGAGGCCGAGGCAGACGGATCACTTGAGGTGGATCACTTGAGGTCAGGAGTTCGAGACCAGCCTGGCCAACATGGTGAAACGCTGTCTCTACTGAAACCCTGTCTCTACTAAAAATGCAAAAATTAGCCAGGTGTGATGGCGGGCGCCTGTGATCCCAGCTACTCAGGAGGCTGAGGGAGGAGAATCACTTGAACTCAGGAGGAGGAGGCTATAGTGAGCTGAGATCGCACCATTGCACTCCAGCCTGGGCGACAGAATGAGACTCTGTCTCAAAAAAAAAAAAAAAAAGAAAGAGAAAAGAGAAGAGGCTGGGCACGGTGGCTCACGCCTGTAATCCCAGCACGTTGGGAGGCTGAGGCAGGCGGATCACGAGGTCAGGAGTTCGAGACCAGCCTGGCCAACATGGTGACACCCCATCTCTACTAAAAATACAAAAATTAGCCAGGCGTGGTGGCAGGCAAGGCAAGACTCCATCTCAAAAAAAAAAAAAAAAAAAAAAAGAAAGAAAGAAAAGAAAAGAAATAGAAGGAACCCAGGGGAGCTTCCAAGTCCTGGGCCCAGGGCCCCTGGTGGTCCCAGGAAAGCCAGAGCTGGAACCAGAGTCAATGGGGGCCATAGAGCCATGGGTCGTAGGGACTATCGGAGGAAAAGGGGCATCTGAGGTCGGGGGTAGGGGAGACCATCTGGGAAGAAAGCCCGCCCTCCTCATTTCACATCACTTGGCTTGAGAATGGTGAAGGGGCTTCTGAACTCATCAAAACTGGAATCCTTCGGGAATGTGGCCCTTCTCGAAGGTTCTCCCTGCTCTCCACTCCCAACAGAGAGGACACCGGCAATTAGTGAATCAGCCAGACCCGGGCTGGTGATGCTACTTGGACCTGGGGCAAACAAGATACCCAAGAGGCCTTGCTGGGGGAAGGCGTGGTATTCTCTAGGGGCTATGCCTGGGTGCAGGGGACTAGTGGGTAAGGAGCAACATCTGGTCTTTGGTTTTGTTCTCTACACCCAGAGTTAGCTATCTCTCCCAGGAGCTGAGCAAGTGGGTCAGCTCCCCGGGCGAGCTGGGGCTGTGAGCGACGTGGGCGTCAGGAACTGGGGTGCACCGCGGCTTCTTCCCTGGCAAAGCGGTTTCTGGCGGCGCAGGCCCACAGCGTCCCCTGCTGGCCGCGGAGGGCTCCTCACCCGGGAGCCGCCGCCTGAGCTGCGGACCCCGTTACCTTCCTGGGGTGACCACTTCCTCCCTCGTTTTCGGAAGCTGCAGCCAGGCTGCAGCCTGAGACCAAGGAAGCTGGAGGAATCCTTTCCCAGTTTATCTGCAGGAGAAGGAAGTGGAGGATTCTCTGTGCAGCCTCAGGACGCTCAGGAAAATGTCACCTCCATAGTTGGAACCAAGTGGAAAAAGTTAATAAATGGTCAATTTTTTTTTAAAGAACGCCTGTAATCCCAGCACTTTGGAAGGCCGAGGTGGGAGAATTGCCTGAGCGCAGGAGGTCAAGGCTACAGTGAGGTGTGATCGTGCTGTAGTACTCTAGCCTGGGCAATAGAACAAGACCCCATCTCAAAACATAAAGTAAAATGATTTTTTCTGGGCCGGGCGCAGTGGCTCACCCTTGCAATCCCAGCACTTTGGGAGGCTGAGGCAGGCAAATCATGAGGTCAGGAGATCAAGACCATCCTGGCTAACACCGTGAAG